CTGACGAAAGATCATGGTTATCCTCCTCATCCAGACAGATTCACTGATTATTATCAGGTCATGAGTAGAGAGAGTCTGACTGGACGTTGTTACTGGGAGGTGGAGTGGGGTTTAGGAGTTGGTGTAGCAGTGACATACAAGGATATCAGCAGAGTAGGAAAAATAGCTCAATGTTCGTTTGGAGCCAATGACAAATCTTGGTCTTTACATATTGACAAAAAAAATTCTTCTCTCTATCATAAAAAAACCTGGAATAAAACCTCAGCTCCTGGTTCCTCCTCCAGAGTAGGAGTGTACCTGGACCACAGAGCAGGTCTTCTGTCCTTCTACAGAGTCTCTGACTCCATGACTCTCCTCCACAGAGTCCAGACCACATTCACTCAGCCTCTCTATGCTGGACTTGGTCTTTATGATTTTTCTCCTGGAGACACAGCAGAGTTCTGTAAACTCAGATAGACTTTAGTGGCTGCTCCTGGGCATTTGTTTTTTTACCTGAACTGAAATAAAATGAATTATTTAAATCAAATCAAAGATACATTTCCTCTGTTTTGTTGATAAAAGAGATAAGATAAAAGTTTGATTTAAAGCCACAGTAGAACACAGTAAATACCTTTGTACGGTGTGTGATGATTGGTTATAAATCATCATGTTGTTGATAATCAGTGGTTATAAACTTGACTAGGTCACACATCACATTTCATTTGTTCTGGAAAAACGTCTCTTCTCCGTGGATTTTGTCTGAACTGGAATAATAACAGTGAGGTGATGGCCTGATGCTGAAGACTGTCTCCTCCTCCACTCCCTGCTTCAAACACATGTCCATCTGAGACACTGACAATATGGGGGTAAGGTGTGAACCTCCCCCACTGAGGCCTAGTGGATGGATCACAGTGTGGCTGCACCGTGACATCATGGTAGGAGACACGAGACCAAATCCAGGAGCAAACAAACTCTGTCTTCAACCTTTATGGACAAAAGACAGAAAAGACCGGGACTTTAAAGTGTCTTTGTATCAGTCATTTTCTTTTCACTGTCTCTGATCAATGTCTCTGACTGTAAAAATATCTGTTGTGATCAATGATGTGAATCAAAGATGATCAGGGTTTTAGTTTGAGGCCTCGTTCACTCAGTTCAACAAACTTTGACTTCATGGTTCTTCTCTGGTGATTCTGAATGTAGATCCCTCTGTTCCAGTGTCAGGATCAGTGTCACTGATGTTCAGACTAGAATCACAGGTTTACTACAAAATTCAATAAACTCAATATATCACCGTATCTACAGTTTCCCAGTTTATCCCAATATTGTTGCCCCTCTATCGTGATACACAGCCCTACAGGTTATTCACATTTGTGAGACAATATGTCTGTTTTCTGTGTGTGTTTATTTGTGTGGATGTTAAAAGGACACACGTCTCTGCACTTTTATCTTTTATAAAGTCTAAAAACAAACGCCGGGTTACATCACCACTGCAGTAAAGAAACAATCTAAAATTATAACCAGGTTAGACAGTGACCTGAGTTGTATTTTAGGACATAAGGATAATGTAGACACACACACACACACACTCTTCACCCACCATCACCACTTTTTAAAGCCTTCATGGAAAAGTAAAGCAATAATAAATCAGGTGTCTTTCTGACAAACCCCAGCACGGCTGTAAAATACAGCAGGACATAAAGAGGCTGAATGAAGGTGCAATAAAGACGGAGCACTTTATACTCCAGCACTAAAGTCTCTGGACCGCCGCCACGGAGACAGGAATCACGCCGAGACGGAGTCCGTCTCACTTTTAACCACAGCTCCGATGAATGGGAACACGAAGAAAGAAAGAAAAAAAAAAAAAAACTAAACTATTTAATTAGCTGTTATTTAAATCACGTCCAGACCAAAGTGATCAAACTCAGACGGTTGGATGAGCTGAGACGCAGGGTTAGCCTTTTACGTCAGTGACAAACTTTATGACAGATAAGAGCAGTGACTTACTGTAAGGTGTGGCTTTGTTTGTTTATGTATTTTCTCTCTTCGATTTCTGCAAGACGTTAATCAGTTGAATCATTTAAAAAAAAAAAAAACAACTATTTTTTTCCCCTGTATTACAATCTCAAGAGTCTTTTATAACGAAGCAGATTCTGATTCTGACGTTGCGGCTTCACCTGAGGTTAAATGAACTCATTTTCCTTCTCCTTATTTGCCTTTGTAAGAAATTAAATTTGATTATTCCTCCCATGATTCCATTCTGCCTCTTGTTTAAAGTCATTTAACCTGCGTTGAGCCCTGACTCATTACTGCCCCCCCCCCTGTAAAAACATCTGCTCTGCGTGTGCACTTCATTAACATGTGACGGAGCGTCTTAATGAGTGTACCCAATCTGGATTTTCATTTTCATTAATCGCACGCGTTTGAAAAGTCAACTCTTTTACTTCCTGTTCAAAGACAGTGAAAATGGAATCATCTCCACTTCCACCAAGTTCTGCTCTTCACTTTAGAGGACACACACACACACATCACACTCAGCAGCTCCCCTGAATGACTCGGCGTCATTTAACCGTCACTTATCGTCCACGGAGGTGCTGTGGGGTCACCTGCTGTAATTAGGGCTCCACACTTGTGATTTAAAAAGACATTTGACTTGCTAATCCTCCTCTCTTCAGAAATACCAGATAAATGAAGTCTCGGGGAAAAATGGCCATTCACTACCAGGGACCGCGATGGACAGGAAGCAATTACCTTGATACCGGCGGAGCGGCATTTACCCACGGCGTCGGGCACGGCCGCACGAGGAGGATCGATCATGGAGATGAGGCCCAGGAAGCAGAGCTGCTCGGTGGGGAAGTTGGTCTCGTCGCAGTCGAAGGTGAATCCACGAGGAAACTGGGAGGTGGACAAGTTCAGGTGGCAGAAGCCTGGGGCGGGAGAGGAGACAGGAGTCAGAGGAGGAGGTGAGGAGGGGGTCGGAGAGGAGTCAGGGAGGGGGGGTCAAAGAGGAGTCAGTGGGGGGACGGAGAGGAGTCAGGGAGATTAATGATTTTAAAAGTGTTGTTTGTCTGAAAGGTACTGGACCACAGACCGCCCCCTGCTGTCGTCATGTCGTCACAGTACACTGGTGCGGACCGGCCCAGTGGACCGTTCTACATCAGTCTACAGTCATTCAGCCCTAACAGCCTCCTCTTTGGAACAGTGTCATCGTAAAAATCATCCCACACGTTTATGGCCACATTTGACCAAACTGCCCTGTTTACCGTGGAGATTATAAAAAAGTAAGTGCCGTGCCCCCGCAGAAAAAACCTCCTGCAAACTCCCAGACCGGCTTGTTAAAACCTCACCCAGCACTCTCTCTCCCAGACCTCCCAGGTCCAGGTAGGCGTTCTGGAAGGCCTCTCTCCAGCTGTCGTCCAGGTTCTGCTCCTGTCCATGGATCATGATGGTGCTGCACCTGTGAAACGGTAACGTCACAAATATAAGAACAACGTTTGTCTTCAGTGTCGTCTCTGATTGGTTTAATCTTAATAGTCAAATGGTTTTTTGTTTTGTTTTGTTTTTAGCAATTAGCAGGTAGCTACCTTCCCTGGCCTGGAGGTGGTGCTACGTTTGAAAGCCTTGTTCCTGGTCCAGTTAAATTCTAGTTATACTGTGTGAATTCAGTCCTGCAAACTGGGTCAAAACTTTTCTCAAAATTTCCCTATTTATGATGTTACAGGAACAAGCGGTTCTCAAACTGTGGTACACATACCACTGGGAGTACTGGGGTGCCCTCTAGTGGCACCTGGGGGGAATTTTGGTTCTTGATCAAATTAATTTAATTATACATGTTGGAATTAATTCTCCTGACTTTATTTTAGGTTCATTAACAGAATGAAAAGACCGGTAAAAAAAAAAAAAAATATTGGAATTAATTCTCCTGACTTTATTCTAGGTTCATTAACAAAATGAAAAGACCTGTAAAAAAAATAAAAATGAATTAAAAATGATTATCGATCCATTATGGATTAACACACCTGTCCAGGATCCTCTCTGGAGCTCCCTTCATGACCAGGATGTGACCCGAGGGATTTTCCTCCGATTCATGGATGGAGAGCTGACAAAAAAAAAAAAAAAAAAAAAAAAAAACAAAGAAAACACACAGGTAGAGGGGGATCAGAGCAGAGACTGGTGGTAGGAGAAATATAAATTTTTGACTAAATCTGATTTGGTCGGTGAGGGATGATGTGGATGTTACACAGCAGCTGCTTTGAATGATTCATTTCCCGATTCCTCGATCTATATGTCAAGGCCCTGGGGTCAAATGTCAAGACATTAATTGTGCATCAAAAAATGTGTGGCGTTAAAGGCAGTTTCCATGTCAAACAAATACCAAAAGAACAAATTAGCATTTTGTATTTATGTATTTTTTCACACTGAGAATTAAAAAGGATAAATTATTGTAATTATATCAAGTACAATTATTATAAAATAGACCACATGACTTTTTTTTTGCTGTTTCAGGTTTGACTCCAGATCACGTCACACTTTTTTGATGACCCTTTTTGAGCAGCAGCCAGAAAATCAACCCAGTAATATTTCAGCTGCCGGGTGATTTTTACTGCTAACTAGATTTTCCTGGGATCATCTTCCACTTGGTTGCGTTGTACTGGCAGACACATTATTTAGTGATAAAATAAAAAATAAAAAAAAAGAGGGAAACATTGGTGCCAACGATCATTTTGGGGAGGAGAGGGTTTATGTTTCCAAACCCAGAATCTGATTAAAAAAAGCGACACTGGAATCCGTCCACCGTGTGTTGTGTCTGTTTGGATGGAGTTTTTCATTCATATTCACACATGTACTACTGCTGTGTTACACGCTGCCTTCCATTAAAACACACACACACACACAGAGTATATGCAGGTAATTTGTATCTGACTCACAGCATATCTAATCTCCAAAAACCAGAACAAAATTGCTTTTCTCCTCATCTTCCCCCAACAACAACAACAACAACAGAGGTTCCTATTTTGAGTCAGGGAACAGGTGCAGAAATCCATGCAGGAACTTCTCTGTTTACTTCAGCGTCGCTGCTGTGTAATTCATACGCTGGTTTAAATCTTCACCCAGGCTGAAATAAGGACCGGGGCGTGAAGAGAGAAGCACAAAACAAACTCCTCCCTGTCTTTAATCACAGCAGTGCCCTTGAGCAAAGTTGACATGAACTTTTACTTTGACTCCTGAGTCAGGGCTCTCCTCCAGGTAACTAGGACAAGGTTAGTTATCAACGCCATGTACTCAGGATCCCAGACGGACCAACTCGGGGTTACACGGTGGAAGAGTGATTAGAGCGTTAGCCTAACAGCAGGAAGATCACGGGTTCAAGCCCAAAATGCACGGATGTTTTCAGGGTTCTTCAGTTCCTTTGAACAAAACAATTTTGGATGAAATGGACGGATGGCTGGACGGATGGTGGTTCCCCTTTGCCCCCTGTTATAATTTCCTCACATAAACACGTCTAATGGCAGCCTGTTGGTTGAACATCTGCTGAACACGTTTGTTAACATCAGACATTAACTGCGGAGCGAACTAACATCTGCTGAAGTGTTCTTTAGAGGAAGGTTCAAATCAACGGACCCTGACGACGGTGGTCTTTTATGAACCTCCTAAAATTGGAGTTTAGTTTTTAGTTTTTAAACTGACTCATTTGACTCATTTACAAATTTACTAATTTGTTAATGTTTCACTGTGAACCAGAACTGAACCTCTCCTCCACCCAAACACCCTTGGCTTTTAGAGACACCTGCACGTAAAAAAAAAAAAAAATGGCTGTGTCATATGTGAGGGTGTGAATGTAAAGTCGGCGAAGGCGATTCAGGCCTGGCCTGCCCATGGACAAAGGTCAGAATAAATATGTATGAGCCAAACTGGTTACTGTCTCTTTACAAGACAAAAACTGTGTCTTTTTAACAAACAAAAAAAATAGAAATGCCATAAAAACAGTCAGAAAGGTCAGCAAAAAACAGTAACGATGAAGGCCATATTTCCTCCTAAATAATAAGTAATAAATGTATTATATTGTAGGTTTGATATAAACATTTTAGACCTGCCTTTAAAAAAGAAAATATTTATAATAATTTATAATAGTAATCAAAAACTGTACATTTACACGAGATCCGATAATTTGTCCTGGGATTCGAACCAATTTTCTACTGAATAAAACTGTTTTTTGTTTTTAACTAATTTTGTGAAATATTTTGTTGATTTTCATTGACTTCTTGTGTGTTAAAAAACACTGGTCTCTGAACTCTTTGATTTTCAGGTGATCAGAACCATTTCTATAACCCCGCCCAGGAACGCGATAAAACCCGGCGTTGATTCTTTGATGATGATGTGAAAACGTCAGCGGAGCAGGACCGCTCTGATCAATGGTTTGTAAACACGTTGTAAGATTCCACACGGGGAGCGCTTTAAGCTCGGAGCTGTGATTCCACACCGGTCCCCCGGGGGGCGTTACCTGGTACTTGTTGGTGGAGTTGAAGGGGATCTCTGCCACTTTGGGGTTTCGGGCTCTCATGTCACGAACGCTGCAGCACAGCTCGATGCACTTCAACAGAGCCGACTCCGAGGCGTCCCCCGCCGTCTCCCTCTGGGGACACACAGACACAGGCGCGTTAGCACATGCATAATACAGAGATGGAAGTATAGGCGTCTCCGCCCGTGTTCATCACCGCGCTGCTGTCAGATCACAGTGTGTGCTGTTTAATTGATGGAAGCGTTGTCGCAGCACTGAGCGGAGAACTTTCCTTCTTCTCAGCGACGCAGAGCATCAGCAGTGTTTTATCATCCAAACAAAACAACAATCCTTCATGTGTTACATGAGATTAAGATGTGTAAATTACATGACGGTCAGGAGGGCATGGGGGGGGGTCAGTTAGTATTTGCTGGATCTGGCCCGCGGGTCATTAGGTTGTCAATGTGTTAGTGGGAGGAGGTCAGCAGTGGCAGAAAAATACTTGAAGGTGGTACCGAACGTGAATACAAAAAGAGAGATAGTTGTAAAGTGTGACGTCTGACAGATGGGTTCAAGTTTTGGTGGAGTTACATCAGGAAAGGTAGTCACACTGCGGCAGAAGAAGAAGACTAACGTCGGCAAAGTATCGGTTTTGATAGAGTTTATGAAACCAATGGAGCAGTAATCTGTAGTGAAGTTAAAAAAAAAAAAATCCAACCGCCCTCGTACCTGTAGCTAACACGGCTTTACCGCTTCAGTCTCAACCATGACACACAGTAGTGCCAACAGAGGGAGAAGAATATGTAAACAGACAAATGTTAAAACATGGAGGAATTATCGCTGCAACATTAATAACAATCTCCAGTCGCAGCTTCCATGACTTCAATATTTGCTGTGAGTGGTTGCCTGATGTACAAAGTCTTGTCGCTGACACTATTTTCCTGCTCAGTTTCAGAATAATTCAATGAACCCAGCAGAAGAAAAAAAAATCTATTGTGCAAATCTCCAATCTTTTTCCTGGCGAGTAAATGTCATCTCTATGCTGATGACGTTCAGAAAAGGTCAAGGAATTTAAGCGTGTTTACTGCAGTCAGACAGGTGGACCGGTGGGCCGCGTTTCTGCCTCTCTTTTTGATGCAAATTGATGGGAGATATTTTTAGGTTTGTTTATTTGATTTTTTTTTTCTTTTCACTAAAATGTCAGAATTGAGAATATCAAGGTGTAATTAATACTTTTTGACCTCATGCCACAGGCATATAGAAAAATCAATGGAAGAAGCAATGAAATATAAACTGAATATTGACAGTTGCTGTTTCCTAAAATGCAGTTTCTCAAACTTTTTCTGTGCCGGCTTAGACCGTGTATAAAAAATGAACAGGGCCATGTGAAGCTGCAGAAGTGAATCTCGGTTCTCTGTGCTGTAAATAACACAACATCTAAGGCGATTGAACACTTCCTGTTTGGTTATTGATGTTGAAAAAGAAACCTTGTTCCCGAGCTCAAATAATCCAATCTTTCCAACAACAAATACAGTACCGACTAACAACAGAACAGCCTGTCCCTTGGCTGCACGGGTCACTGCAGGTTGCACCACCTTCACCTACTCTTCTGCCACACCTAGTGCTGCCAGATGTACAAGTTGACGAAAAACTCGTGGACACTACAAGAGCAATGATTTTGACCATCTAACAGTTAAACGCTGAACACCAGACACTCGAAAAAAGAAAAAAAAAAAAAGCTCAATAAAATAATACTACACTTTTTTTAAAAACTCAACGTCAAACCGTGAGAGCACAAAAGTGCATTAGAACAGCGTGTGGCTACAGAACCTGCGTCACCGGGACAACGCTAGCTGCGCCGAATTGCTCCTCTATTAACGCCTAAAGTCGAGCATAAAAGGCACAGCAGCGGCGCTGAACCATTTATTCCACGCGGCGTGACTTCCCCACTATTACATGAGGTGAGATTAGTGTGAGTGACAGGTGCTCAGGAAACGGAAGGCTTCCTGAGGCTTTGACCGTGGAACTGAAGCGGCAGTACAGTGGAGCAGTGTAACAGCTCCTTAACACACTGCTGCCATTTCAAAAAAAAAAAACGGTTTGTTCTTACGAATGTCACGGTCTTCGCCGTACAACGAGCGTTGACACGTGTTTGAAGAAAATGTCTTGCCTCGTGGGGGATTATTTTTGAAGGCGAAGATTCGAACTATTCAAACTGATGAGGAAAATGAAGTCTGTGAATAAATGGACGTAGAAATGGACGTGAACCCAGGATAAATCCTGGGGCTTAAACTGATGACTAGGAGAAAATGGGAGGCAGAGAGAGAGAGAGAGAGAGAGAGAGAGAGAGAGCAGACGATGTTTTGAACCCCACCCCCTGCAACCTCCCCTGGATTTTAGTCATCGTTTCTTAGTTATTCTGCCTCTGGTGGTGTTTAAACCATCGTAGTAAAAAAAAAAAAAAAACATTCCACCTGGATCTGGAGCGATTCATCCAAAACCCTGTGTCAATTCATTAAAATCCACGCAGCACCGACAGCAGCGAGTCGCCTGTTCTTCATTCATAAAAAAAAAAAAAAAACAAGGACACACGCTCGGCACAGAGGTTTGTGCTCGTTTGTGAATGAAGAACTAGATCAAGGAAACAAGGCTGTTTCTTGATCCGTTTTTTTTTTTTCTTCTTCTTTTTAATGAGGGTTCTTATGGAGCGGCCCAGTTCAGGATGGCTGTGTTTTCAGTTCTGTCAGGACATATTGCACTTGGTTAAGGCAGAGAGACAGGAGGAAGTCCAGGGCACCTCCAGGGTCAGTGGGGGGGGGTATAGGGGGAGGGGCAGCCCAGGAGTTGTAATCCCACTTGTCCAGAGCCGTGTAGAGAATATCCTCCGGTCAGTGTGGTGTAGTGTGGGTCGGAGGGTGTCGGTGCTGGTGAAACACCTCAGTGTTATTGACTCAGTCTCTCTGCAGCCCTAGAGTGTGTGTGTGTGTGTGTGTGTGTGTGTGTGTGTGTTTGTGGGAATGTTATTTCCAGGTTTATCCTCAGTGCGTCTGTGATTCTGTGGAGGTCGGAGGTTTTGTGTGTGTGTGAAAAGCACCACTACCCTCAAGTGGTATTGGCAAATTATTTATAGGGGATGTTTTGACCCCCCTCTCCACCCCCACCCCCCTCGTCCCCCTTGTGGCTGAAGGAAGAGCTGAGAGCAGGTGGAAACACAGAGGAACTCCAGCAGAATTCTGTAGTTAGTTCTTAGAAGTAAATTTACTGGAAACTGTTTGTTTCCTCTACTTTCAAATGTCTGTTTCTTAATGACAGTTACTTTAATTTGTCATTTAAAATTATATCATTTTTTCCATCATCTGTTTAAATGTCTGCAGTTCAATTCCCCCCCTCCCCCGGTGCTGGCACAGAGGCATGAACAACAGACAAGTGATACCGTGGGCCGTAAAGGACGGTTAATATTAAATGTGACATTTTTAGACTTTTGCTTGCTAACGGCTAACACCAATGAACCCCATTTTGCCAAGTGATTTTAAAAAAGTAGCTTGGGGTAAAGTGTCCAGGGTCCAAGTTACATCAGTCCAGGTTTCTGGATCAGTAACAAATGTTTGCATTTTAACTTTTACTTGAAAAAAATACTTTCATTTACTTCCACTTTTTCATTTTTCAGCCAATTCCCAAACAAATAAAAAAAAAAAAATCAATCTCCTCCTTTTCATCCTCTAAAATATTTTACTGCGACAGACGCCCAGGTGTATTGTTAATTGGCCGTGGGTGGTGGTGGTGGTGGGGGGGGATCTGGGGGGTATCGTTTACAGTAATTCTGCTGCATTAACTCGACGTGAAGTGCCATTCCTCAGTGCCTTTAAATGAAGCCGTCGTGGGAATAAAACGCAGCGTAAACGGGGCTTAGATGAGACTAACACCGACAGGTGCGACGCCGCGATCAGTCTTAACGCCGTAACGACAGCTGCTTAAGGCTAATGTGTGATGCTGCGTGTGGCTGAACCGATGCCGCGGGATTAGCTGTAGCTACAGGCGCGTGACGCCGCAGTACGTGACGGGTTTGATCACGTCATGGTCTGCAGCGGCGCAGAGGACGGTTCTACCACGTCGGTCAACGTCCGGTTTCCAAACCTACGGCAACAAACGGGCGACGTTCATTCAATTCCAGTTTCTTTTTTCTGGGAGATAATTTAAATGTTTTTCATGAATTTCAGATTCAGATTGTCACGTGACCATCAGCCGTGGTCCTGAAGCTGTTCTTTAAGCAGGACCGTCCATGAAACTGAGTTTATTTGTGAAAAAAACTGCTTGTTTAAAAAAAAAAAAAAAACTCATTCAAACTAATAAGAATGGTAATATTATATTTTGACTTTTCCTTTCTGTGGTTTTTTTCTGTCTCTGGTACTAAACGACCCACATCCCCGGTACCTGACGAGACTAAAAATGTTGGAAATATTCAGTCTACAAATGTGGTTCTTATTTGACTTGTAACTGAATATCTTTGGAAATATCATGCAGCTAAGTCAGATCTGGATTCCTCTGCCATCGCTCCTTCTCTGAGTGACAGCCCACCTGACACCCTCCTGATGCTGTTAGCTTCACACCACTGCCAAACGTGACGGAAAGAAGAAGAAGAAAAAAAACAAAAAGAATCAGGCGTTATGAATCATGTGCACTTGTGATTTCCACTGAATCTTTCAAAGAAAGGCTGAGTAACTACTGATGTCTTTGGCTTGGACTTATTTAATCACTGCACATTTGGGAGTGGAGATAATTCATGAGATCCGACTGTGTCGGTGTGATGGATTTAGAAAGTTGCTGGTGCAGTGTGAGAGTGGGGTGAAAGTTGATACCATCTGGAGAGGAAGGTTCTCCTGTCCGGCTTTGAAATCAGCTCTGTTGCACAGACCGGCCACACGGGACAGAGCAGCCCAAGTAGCAGAACTCTTGTCAAAACCCAAACCTGAGAGAATAGCAGAGGAGACTCTGTTAGAGTGGGTTCTTTTTTTTTTTTAAAGCAGGGTTCATGCAGTATTTATGCCACAGACTTCACTCTTGACTCACAGAATAGCATAAGATGCTGTGGCTAAATAACAGAATCAGGTTTCGGTTGAGTCGGGCAAACACTTTCTCCCTGACAAAAGTGTTTTTTTTTTTTTCACTCCAACCGTCTGGAGACGCCATTCATTTTTAACCAGATTGTGTTGGAAAAAAAAAAAAAAACATGCTTGGAAACTCCACATCTCAAAAACCAATTCCTCCTGATTCAATCAAACTGAGCACGACCCCCGTCTGCTGCTGCTGCTGCTGCTGCTGACATTCATTTTTCATCTGGGTCCAAGTGGTTCAAGTGCTCGCACTGACTGTTATTGTGAAAAACTGAATGTGATACATGTCATGTACCATACAATCCAGTAGGCAGGTTGTTCTTTTCCACAAAAATTCCAAAGAAATCTAAGGCGACGGAGACACCGCGCAGAAGGTCACACACCCGGCCCGTGATATAACAAGGATCCAGGTCAGGCAGCGACGCCTCCGCGGCGCTGGGAAAAATCAACACTTTCCCTTCTGCAACATTTATGTTATCTTAAATTTCACTGTAGTCAAAAACAGCTTAGCTGAGTTTTAGAGGATGTATACATGACGGAGTGGTTAATGCTCTTGCCTTACAGCAACAAGGTCACCAGTTTGAATCCCAGTGATCGCACTAACGGTTCAACTGTGGTGTTGTCGTATTTCTGCGTCTACAACTCTCCCAGTTTCCGACCACAGTTTTTAAGCTTTTACGCCTGACCACAGCTGTGAATGTTAGCATGAGGAGCTGTTAGCCTTACTTGCTGACAGCAAACAGCATGCTCTACTACTACTCTTATTACCTCAGCACACGCTCATTTACAGCTCGCACCTTTTGGTTGGCTGTTAAAGGCCTGTTAAAAAAGGTGGTCGTCTGTTTCGCAGACGCTCTCCTGTTTGTGTCTAAGGAGCCGTAGCCCACGTTTCCCGCGCCTCCCGCTGCACACCGCTGCTCGCCTAATGCCGTAGCACGAGCATCAGTGTCAGATGGCAGCGCCGACCGTGGGCAGATGGATATCAGCAGGTGTTCACGCTTGCTTAATCCCTGTATACCTACACACTCGCCTTTTTATATCTCTCACTCCTCCATTTTATCTCCAAGCTCCACTCGTCC